TCCCAACCTTGGACAGCATTGAGGAGATTCACATTGCCACCTATAGAAATGATAATAATCCTTCATTTGTTCAAACACCATACGATAAGGTGCTTGCTGAAAAGTTGAAGGATCACATTTCACCACTTCCATTCTTCCTTCAAATTACTTCTATTGCATCGAGATTTGTGGAAATGTTCTGTTTAATGGACTCGAGCAATGTTCCACTCGATCTTAAAATGTACATTCCTTTGTTTTTGGCTCTCAACTTTTCATGTGATATGAAACTTGGTGAGGATCCAAGTCAATATATCAAGAAGGAAAATGTCATTATGAGTCTCATGAGAGAATCTGTTTCTAACTCTTACACTTGTGGAGGTGATAATGATAGTGGTGATGGAGGTAAGAATTTACAAGCTGGACTCTTTGCAGAACTTGTTCAATTCCAATTAACCTTTGAACTCGATAAGTATGAAAAGATGATTGCATGGGCAAGAAATTTCCTCTACAATACCGTCTATACTCCAGAAGTGATTGAAACCAAGATTCAAGTTTTGCTCAGTGAAGTTCAACTTCACAAGATTACACCAGAGAGTGTTCTTGCACAAGCATCTAAGCATATGGTAATCAGACCTGAATCTAATCATTCAGTGACAAGCTTTTTACTGCAAGAACAATTCCTTGTTCAAACATTAGGAAAACTGAAACAAGATCCAAATGCAGTCATTGCTGATTTGTATCGTCTTCGTGATACTCTCAACAAGCCAGAGAATATTCGTATTCATGTTACTATGAATGTAGACCACTTTGGACCAAGCAATTATGAAAAGATTACTGCTCCTTGGGCAACTCTCTGCGATTCTACTGCACGAGTCCAACCAATGAATGGATTATGTAGATCAACTACTGAATATGTCGAACATGTTAATAGAGGTATTTTATTAGGTATGGGATCAACTGATTCTGCATTCCTTTTGAAAGTTCATAAGGGTATTACTGATTATTTGAATTATCATGACAGACATTCTCTAAGTGTTGCCATTAACTTTTTGACTGGCGAAGAAGGACCATTCTGGGTCAAACTCAGAGGTAAAGGATTGTGTTATGGTTACTCCATCATTAGTAATGTAGATAAGGGATCAGTAGGCCTGTATTTGTCTCGTGTTGGAAATGTTTCCAAGGCCTACGCTGAATCAAAGGCAATTATTGAAGCTGTTTGCTCTGATGAAGAACCAAGTGAAAATGTCTTGAAGCTTAATGAATCTGCACTCGAACCTGCCAAGGCAACCACAGTTGTTGAAAAATTGAATAATGCCGAGACTATTATTTCAGCTGCCTACTCTCGATTCTTAACCAATACCTTGTTCAATGGACCAAGAAACTTTTACGAAAATCTCCAAGATATCGGAAAGGTAACAGTGAGCGATGTGAAGAGAGTTATCAAGCAATACTTGTTGCCACTCTTCCTTGAAAATGAAGGTGCCTTGTTCATTTGTGATAATGCAGGAAAGATTTCAAATGAATATCCAATTAAAGATGATTTGGAAAAGATTGGATATCTAAAGAG